AAATGAATAGTAATAAGGTGTGTTTTGCCCAATCGTAAATAATGTCACATCACTGCAAAATAGACAAAACAAGATTGATGGAATCAATCTAACCAAAAGTCAGCTTTTTTGTCTGCCACACACGTGGTATGGGATTGTATATATCAGTGATCGAATGAGTGGATTAAAATCAATCATAACAAACCACATTCATATAAATTAGGAATAATGTGGTATAACACAAAGTAGTCAACTTAAGCTAGGTAGTAAGTAATTTACCTGGTGGACACCGAAAAAGCCTTTCCCTGAGCTAGCTAAATACACATCCTGAACAGGGTCAAAATAAAAATGGTGGTTGACGAACAAGACCATGGAGATTTGGAGATTTGTTGGAGCCCAGTCATTTGTTGGACAAGGATTTCGATGTGCAAAGACAGGGGCTTATCCCGATACACTTGTACATATCCTTAAGAACTGTAAGTGTTGAGTGATATTATAAAACAATAATGTGATTGGTGACGAAATATGTCGTTACATAATAAAGGTTAGTTGACGCCTCAATGTACTCCCGTCTGTCAGTACCCCTGCCTACACTTTGACAAAACAAATATTCCGCCCACCTCTTAACACAAAAGATCACGAAAAGAAAGTCGTTTTGTAAAGCAGTACAAGGATTTCTGTGACGTTTAGGGTTACAAATCAACCATATTCCGTTACACTTTACAAATGAAAACCATTATTGTCGTTGTGTTTACTAGAATAATTAGAAAAGGGTTTAGTTACTGGGAATACTGCGAATTGTTAAATTCCTAATAGAAGCACCCACCCTGTCATTATAAAGTTATATATTATTTTAGAATGACTTGACTTTTAATGGTCTGCAGTTGGATGGGCCTAGATTGAGTATGACTGGAAACAATATTTGTTTGTTGGAAATACATATCGCATGGTACAAATGTTATTGTTTATTTGATGGGTGTGTAGGCAATGACTATTGCCACAAAGGAAACTTCATTAGATATACGGGATGTTTTGTCGGATAACCGCTGCCTCTCAGTATCAAGGGATATATATTTGACAGTTATCAATTACATACCACGTATTGGCAAAAAACTTTTGTGTCTGGAACCCATGTATATCGTATACACGTGTAAAAAAGGACCACAACTGGATTATCACAACTTGGATACCCAAGTTGTGACCGGTTTATTGAAAAACCCTAACTATTTGGGTAAAGTGAACAAATTGCTTGGATAAACGACAACGTTATTAAAAAATCTTGAATACAATGTAACAAATTCAGTTAATTGAATAAACATAAAGTTTTTTTCTGAAATCCGTAACTCTTGACTTAAGGTAGCGAATCAAATTTGTTGAACAAATGACAATGTAAACGTCACTGAGTGTGGGGCCAAATCATGGGTGGTAGGAAGGGAAAATGAGTAATATTTTAATAATATACCGCACTAAGAAAAAACACTTACATTGTTGTGGTGTCTGCCTTGAAGAGGAGTGACATCACACCTCGCGCATCGAGGAGTGTTATCACACTACGCACATCAGCACCGTTGATGGCGTACAATCGCTTGCGTTCCCGACACAAAGCATATTGCTTCCGCAATACGTTAGTTATAAATGTTAATACAGGTTTATATAAGTACCCACAATTTCTAATGTTCCAATATTTCCACATAATAAATTATCCCAATATATTAGCATTTTGAACAAAAATAAATTGGAATTTTAAAAGCAGTCATTAAACATTTGTATAGGTGAATGAATGCTCCTGTATCGAAAATGGGGTTGACTTATTTACGTGAGGTTAATAATGTTTGTCGCATTATATTGATATTATATGTTGGTGACACTAGCCTCTAACCAATATATCGGCTAAGGCACTGATGGCTTTGATTAATCAATCATTGAAGGTGAATTGTGATGGCATGTTTTTGGGCAAATATTAAACATATTATTTATCTTAATCAAAACTCCCCTAGTAATGATTTTTCTGAAATGATTTCTACATATATCTGTCACAGCGTACATGTAATTATGTGAAATGCCCTAAATCAACATGTGGTCCGATATAAAGACACGGTCTTATTGTATTAAGTAAACCCACCTATCACGAATAAATCAGCTGATGCACTGACAGTTGTATCGAACCTATCCTGACAGCTGAATGTGTCTTCTTCACTGTTATCAGCATCACATATACGGAGATGATATTCGTTCTCTTCACCAACGATTTCATATTCGCCAGTATAAAAAGGTATGATATATCGATTTGTTGCAATCAACCTTGTTCCTTTATACCATTCAACTTCACCAGGAACTTCGCCATCAACAAAACTACAGTTGAGTTGTGTATCGTTACTAAAAATAACAAGGGTGTCGACTGGCTTCTCTTCGAACTCGGAAGTGTTAATATCAGGTATGATTCCTATAGCTGAAATTAAATACGCACATGCACATTGCCCTGGTTAACATCAAAGTAATCAATCGCACATCATGATAAGCATGGCGTCATGTCTCAACGCAGTGTTGTTTTTATTGGATAAGATCACGATGCACCTGTACATGAGAATTAAGCTCTTGACATTTATAAAAAATTGTATATGCATAAACTGGTTATATGCTGGCATGTTGTGTTAACATATAGACGATACATGACAAACGTAAACAATCTTGAATGTGCAAAGTAGTATAACTTAATGTGTCAACAATGAAATCAAATAATCCTAAAAACGCGAACACATGATTGACACGGGACAAGTAGATATTCCGGAAAGTGGGAGGGAGGAGGGGAGTTTAGTTCATGGCTGTTAGCACCTACATACATATGTAGATGATTATATGTATGGTAAGAAAGTCGTAGTAGTAGTTTTTAATATAATTTAATAATAATATGTTTAGTGAAACAAAATAACTTTTAAGGCTTTTCTCTTCCCATACAACTAATTGTATTCATCGTGGTATAAAGATGACATAGAATAGGCTTCATAGCATATGTGCTAGTGTTGTTTGTTCAAATGTGTTAATTTGTAGGTTGAATAATGACACAAAATGTTCAATTAAATTTGCCAAAAAGTCGGAAGCTGAATTCAAGATGGTACCTGCACGATTCGCGTGCCGCCACAGAACAAAATGACCCGAAACACTGTTCTGAGGTGAACTATATTGAATTCATTGCGCAAAACGATTATATGCATATCTAGTGAATCAATCAAACAAAATGGCACAGTCCATTGACCGGAAGTTCGCCGTTTTCAAATTCTAACATATTCTGCAGAGCATAGGCAATCGAGTGATTTTAACCAATGTCATGTTTGAAAACTTGGTTCATTTCATAGATGTATGGTGTTATTCATTGTGACAAAGATTTTAGAATACGGCATGAAAGATGTGTTTGTAGAGGAGTGAATTATCAGTTCATATAGGTTACAAATATAGCAACAATTACACTATTCAATTGTTATACACAAAATTTATATCACCATAGAAATAACCCACTTCTAGTATATGTGTTATCATACAGTGATGCCTCGGTGATACTGTTCTCCATACTGCCAATGAGAAGGAAATTTTAAGAAGACAACATACAATGATTTGCTTACTAAACAAACTGAACGCGACCATAAGACCAATCATTTTACATATCAAGACCAGGTTTGTGCTAAATATTATTTTGAATATTTGCATTTGGTAGTTTTC